AAATTAAAAATATTCACCAAATGATATTGTGGCCAAATTTGTAAGGAAGATCGAATTTTTACAATTGCATTAAAACCACTAAAATTTAACGTATATTATTCTTGTAAGTTTAGTGTCAAAGTTCAACCAGTGTTATAATGGTCAAGCTTTCAATAATCCTGAGGAAAGGTCATAGGTTCGAATTCTCGTCAAAGGAAGAGCACAGATTTGAATTTTTACAATTGTATTAAAATCGCTAAAATTTAACATATATTATTCTGGTAAGTTCAGTGCCAAAATTCAATAAGTCCCATAATGATCAAGTTTTCAATAATCCTAATGAGGTCACATGCTCGAATCCCCTCTCTATTGCATTAATTTTGGTAAAAATTGTATAATTAAAATTATTTCACAATAAATTGGTTGGGAAGGATTCGAAACCGCAACCTCCAAAATGGATATGCAAGTTCTAACTAGTTGAGCTAATGTTTGAAAAGAAAATAAATTAACAGTTAAATAACCTAAAAAGTTTATCTATTGTCAACAAGAAAAAACTGTTTCCAGCGGATCCAACCCGCACGGCCACGGGGTTCGTTGGGTTCTAGATCCGCCACTGACTACACATGCTAAGAAGTAAATTCAGAACACAGATTCACCATAAAAAATCTTCTGGAGCTCATTAAATTAAATTAAATTAAATTAAAAACTGAAACCTGGTTGAACCCACGATCCTGAATTGCATTGACTATCTTGTGAAGATCAAACCCACCCCTAGAAGTCTCAAGCACAGTGCCACCCTTTCTATGCCATCCATGAACCATCTTAGGGTTCAGTGGCACTGGCTCACTCGAATAAAATCCTCTGTAACCCGCTCTTATACCGAAAATTTCACGCACCCCATAGTGCTCCCACAACGCCACCACCAACTCCCTGATCACCGTATTCATCCCCGGGCACAACCCACCGCACGTGACAATCGCGGCTCGCACGCGACTCGGGTCGAAGTATATTTGCTTTCGAGGCCCGGCCCTATGGTACTCCAGGCGAGGCCCAGGAGAAGAGAAGGCTCCCGAGAGATGATGGAGAATATGTCGGAGAACAACGTCAGAGGGAGTGATATAGAACTCCGATACAGGGTGAAAAAATGGGTTGTGGTCTAGTGGGTTTGGGTGGATTTGGAGGTCCGGGAGGTAGTCCGTCAGGTGGATTAAGCGTTGTAGCTTAATGTTTGAGATTGTGAACTGATTTTCATTTTCTGCTACTTCTTGGTGCTGGTGGCCAGCCTCCGCGTCGTTTGACGATAATGCCATTGTTGATTTTCAATACGATAATTCTTCTGCTGATTATGATTATGTAGTGTTCTATTGTGCAACTGAGCATAATATGGAAGAACGCGGAGGAGTTTTTCGTGAAACGGGAAGTTCGCGCAGGAGATTGGAATCGACGTGGCGGAGTAGGAAGCAGACGCGTGTGATACGTGGTTGAATTCGCAAGACACGTATCGCATACTCATACGGAGCGGAAAATTGGAATTTGGGATTTGGAACTTGAATTCGTTATATGAACTAGAAAGATGCCATTTCTCGGGGCTCAATGATTGCGATAAATGATAAGAATTTTTCTCCTTGTACAGTCCTTAACATTATACAGCCCACACTGATTAGTGTGGGTCCCGCTGATTAATTAATCAGCGGGGCCCACACTAATCAGTGTGGGCTGTACAATGTACAGTCCATTAAGGACTGTACAAGGAGAAAAATTCNTCTTTTTTAACAAATTTTACTAACCCGTAAAAAAAATTGAGTTTTGAATAGTGATTTTTTAGATAATGGATGGTTAAAAAATATGAAAAAAATTTAAATTTAAATATAAATTTTTTTTAAAAAAAAGTATGAACGAAAATAAGTTTTAAAAAATTAAAAATTAGAGGATGAGGATCAAACAAGATCAAAATTACCTGTTTAAATTATATAAACATATTTTCTTATCTACATATTATTAGTAACTTACACGTTAATTCTATTATTCGGTCAAAATTAAATTTTAATTTCAATAATTCAAAATGAACTCATTATTATCAATCCTTTCGTAGTCTCCAAACTATTTGTCCTAAAAAATTACATATAATAAATCTCAAACGCGAGCTTCTTCGTAAGATCCACAATTTAATTGTCAACTCATTTCTTAACATAACTTATAATCATTTAAAAACACTTTCAAATCTACCCAAAAATCACTTACAAACAATTAGAGCGTTATCTCTAACTATCAATGCTAGTTATCACACAACTTATCACCTACTTAAATTATATATTTTTTTTTACACATTTCAAAACCCACAATTTGTTACCTACTTATTATTTACACGTTACAATCCGATATGTAATCTATAATCCTTGAAAACAGTGCTAGAGAAGCACTTAAATTGAACGTAATTATCCATGGTAATCGCGACACGACGTGTACCCTTACAGTGTTTTATTGATCATCAGCTTTATGCACAATTGATTCAGAGAACATTGGTCAAATAAATATTTTTAACTTCGTAAAATCAATTTTATGTTTATTTCTACCTCAAGTTCCAAGTTAAAAATCATTTTAATTTTTTTTTTATTGTAATTTTAAAATCTATGTGTATATTTATTAATTAAAGCATATATATGTTCGCAGCCCAAAACTTTCATTAGGTTATACTAAATGTTATGGAAATTGAACCTCACGATAATACTATTTTCCTATGGTAAGAGGAAGGAAGCGAAACCTACAAATGGGCTTAAGTGATCGTATTTTAATCGCGAAAGGAATTCTAATATTGAGCAAATCATCTAGAGAGTAGATAGCATGAAATGAAAGAATTGGATGCGATAAATCTTCATTTTCAAATTGATCAACATAAAGATTAGAATAATATATTATTGTTAGTGTTGTTAAACAAATAAGATATCAGAATTGCTCTGATACTAATTGTTGGAAATTCAAGGATCGGGTATCGCTCGATACCACTTGATATAAAACCAACAACTGAATTGAGATGTTGAAGTTATATGGCACCGTAATGAAGATGGAGAAATATTACAATGATCTTAAAAAGTAGTAATTTATTTTCTCACATTAGAAAATTGTATAGAAGAACCTAATATTTCTAGGGAACATGTAGGGGACGTCTAAATCCTCTTAATAGAGTTGTTGATGAAATATAATGCCAAAAAATCAAGTGCAAAACGAGAAAATAAGAGAAAAAAAGGCGAAAAACTCGGAACATAAATATAGCGCCTAGGCGACACACCCCGGGCGCCAGCCTTGCTGTTGTAAAAACAGCAAGCGCCAGGTCTCGACAAAAAAACTTTCAATAGTGTTTTTCTCCATTCCGAACTCTTCAAGTCTAATACCAATTTTCAACTTTCAATGAACTTCTAAAATAGAACTTCAACTTGACATAGAATTCTAATAGCATTCCAAACTGAATTCTTGTTGACATGCACTTCAATTAAATTTTTTCAATTACTTCAATAAAGAATTCGGGTCACACCCAAATTCTAACAATCTCCACTTGACATGAATTTCACTGCAACGAACAAAGCTACAAAATTTTCTCTGCCTGGAGAAGAAAATCTATCTGCAAGGAATGAATTGACTCTTCAACAATAATCAAAACTGATTTGTCCAACTAAACACAAAATATTTCACCTCTTCCAATAAATCCAAACACTACTCTGCAAAATTACCTCAAATTCCAAAAAATCATAATG